AAAATCACATTGTAGGATTTTTAATGAATTTATTTGCAAATTATGGTGGAAAATAAGTATTTGGTCAATAACAAAAGTTTCTCAATACTTTGTTATATACCCTTTGTTGGCAATGACACAGGTCAAACGTTTTCTGTAAGTCTTCACAAGGTTTTCACACACTGTTGCTGGTATTTTGGCCCATTCCTCCATGCAGATCTCCTCTAGAGCAGTGATGTTGTGGGGCTGTCGCTGGGCAACACGGACTTTCAACTCCCTCCAAATATTTTCTATGGGGTTGAGATCTGGAGACTGGCTAGGCCACTCCAGGACCTTGAAATGCTTCTTACGAAGCCACTCCTTCGTTGCCCGGGAGGTGTGTTTGGGATCATTGTCATGCTGAAAGACCTAGCCACGTTTCCTCTTCAATGCCCTTGCTGATGGAAGGAGGTTTTCACTCAAAATCTCACGATACATGGCCCCATTAATTATTTCCTTTACACAGATCAGTCGTCCTGGTCCCTTTGCATAAAAACAGCCCCAAAGCATGATGTTTCCACCCCCATGCTTCACAGTAGGTATGGTGTTCTTTGAATGCAACTCAGCATTCTTTGTCCTCCAAACACGACGAGTTTACTTTTTACCAAAAAGTTCTATTTTGGTTTCATCTGACCATATGACATTCTCCCAATCCTCTTCTGGATCATCCAAATGCACTCTAGCAAGCTTCAGACGGGCCTGGACATGTACTGGCTTAAGCAAGGGCACACGTCTGGCATTGCAGGATTTGAGTCCCTGGCGGCGTAGTGTGTTACTGATGGTAGGCTTTGTTACTTTGGTCCCAGCTCTCTGCAGGTCATTCACTAGGTCCCCCCGTGTGGTTCTGGGATTTTTGCTCACCGTTCTTGTGATCATTTTGACCCCACGGGGTGAGATCTTGCGTGGAGCCCCAGATCGAGGGAGATTATCAGTGGTCTTGTATGTCTTCCATTTCCTAATAATTGCTCCCACTGTTGATTTCTTCAAACCAAGCTGCTTACCTATTGCAGATTCAGTCTTCCCAGCCTGGTGCAGGTCTACAATTTTGTTTATGGTGTCCTTTGACAGGTCTTTGGTCTTGGCCATAGTGGAGTTTGGAGTGTGACTGTTTGAGGTTGTGGACAGGTGTCTTTTATACTGATAACAAGTTCAAACAGGTGCCATTAATACAGGTAACGAGTGGAGGACAGAGGAGCCTCTTAAAGAAGAAGTTACATGTCTGTGAGAGCCAGAAATCTTGCTTGTTTGTAGGTGACCAAATACTTATTTTCCACCATAATTTGCAAATAAATTCATTAAAAAATCCTACAATGGAATTTTCTGGATTTTTTTCCTCAATTTGTCTGTCATAGTTGACGTGTACCTATGATGAAAATGACAGGCCTCTCTCATCTTTTTAAGTGGGAGAACTTGCACAATTGGTGGCTGACTAAATACTTTTTTTCCCCACTGTATACTTCTCACTCCTGGAGATATCAGGAGTCCTCTAGCTATAGAATGAAGCACACAGGACATGTTATGTTATCACACCTCTCTCTCTCTGTGACATAAGGAATGTATCTCTCTGTATTGTCCTTTCAGACGCCTCAACACCCTGAACAAGTGTTGCTCCATGAAACTAGACGTCAGCCACCCCAGGAAGAAAGTAAGTCCCTCTCTCCTTCTCAATTCTATTCAATGTGTTTACAGGAAGTGAAATAAACCAAAAACACTAAAGTGAGAGGACACATTAGAATTGGAACATATAGTTAAAGTACAAATGGGAAAATAAATAAACATAAATATGGGTTGTATTTACAATGGTGTTTGTTCTTCACTGGTTGCCCTTTTCTTCTAGGCTACGTTGAATGGGGGCGCAGATTGCGATGGCTTTCTTACTGCCGCCAAGAGTCGCGCGCATCTGTGCATGACGTCAGTGTGTCGTGGAAAAGGGTCTACAGTATGTACATACTGTAATAAAATATAATGTTTTCCTCTCTCCAGACTGACGATTCAGACGACGATGACACGCTGGCCATCAGTAAGAGATGGACCTTTGAGTGGAACAGCCGGCGCTGGTCCCGCCTCCAGGACATGCACTTCCCGCTGGGCTCGCCCAATGAGAGCAGCCCTGAGGGGTGCCAGGGCGAGGGGGAGGGGCTGCTGAGGAGCACGGTGAGCAGCGAGAGCGTCCTGACGGATCTCAGCGAACCAGAGATCACGGATGTATCCTCTCTTCACAGCCAAGACTCTCTGGGGGCCATGCTGCCTGACTCGGTCTCTATGGCATCGCTGGCAGGGCCCTACCAGGTAACGCTTTATGGTTCCCAAATGGCACCCTATTCGCTATGTAATGATTTTAATTTGATTTTATTGTGATTTTAATGTGATTTTAATGTGATTTTAATGTGATTTTATTGTGGTTTTAATGTGATTTTAATGTGATTTTAATGTGATTTTATTGTGATTTTACCATGTGCTTTTCCTGTGCTTTTCTTGTGCTTTTCCTGCTTTTCTTGTGCTTTATTGTGCTTTTCCTGTGTTTTCCTGTGCTTTTCTTGTGCTTTTCCTCCTGTGCTTTTCCTGTGCTTTTCTTGTCGCTTTTCTTGTGCTTTTACCTTGTGCTTTGCCCGTGCTTCTCTCTTCTTTCTTCTTGTTCTTCCCGCCTCCGCGGGGGACATGTCCCACTACAACTCTCTACCAATCAAAAGCAGCCATCATGGCCAGGGTGGGCGTAGTCCGGTGAAGGCCTTCCTGCGTCGCATGGAGATGATGCGTACGTGGGGGCCGTCCTCCAGGAGGAAGTCAGGAAGTGGACAGGCACCACTGGTCATCAGTGGGCCGGTCTTACAGGGGGAGGAGCCCCAGGCACTACAGACACTCCACTGTGTCCCCATCAACCAATCAGATGGCAGTCCTCATCCGCTCCATCAATCAGACAACAGCACGTCCCCTGTCGCCCATGGAGACGGCAGCGAGGGCCAGTCAGAGACGAGCAGTGAGAGTTCCATGAGTCCCTGTGTGAGGCAGAGAGTCTCCAAGCCCCGGCCTAAAAGAGGAAGTGTTTACCTAGAAGACATGGAGCTGCTCTCTGGCGCCCCCCATGGCCGGAGGACTGAAGCACAACAGAGCCCGTTCGGCAGGAACCACATCCGCTCATACGAGGACCTGCTGGTCCACATCCCCAAGGACCACAAACCAGGCACCTTCCCCAAAGCCCTGTCTATAGAGAGCTTAGCCCCGGCCACTGACCACTACCACCACCACCACCAGACCCCCTCTCCCTCCCCACTCCACCCCAGCCAAGGCTTCCCCTGGGCGGGCACGGCTCCACGGGGCAGCAGGGTGAGTGTGTATGACAATGTCCCCGGGTCTCACCTGCTGGATCTGGACCGAGGAGACAACCTGTTCCCCCACCTGGATGACATCATCAGTCACGTCAGCGGCCTGCAGCAGATTGTACACCAATGGAGTCGCAGCGTGCTGCCGGAGGGGAAGAAGGAGGAGGAGGCGGGAGAGGCTGGGGAGGGAGACAGGGTCTCCCTGAATGATAAGGAGGGTGAGGAGGAGGGGGGGGAGAGGGGAAGAGAGATAAAGGACCTACAGGGGCCGAAGAGGGGAGACTCCGGGTAGGACTTTCCTTTTCCGACCAGGTGAGTGTTGGTTTTTTTAAATTTTTTTAATGGTACGCGGATGAGTGTGTACTGATGGTTGGTAGGCGTGGTTACTTTGGTCCCAGCTATCTGCAGGTCATTCACTAGGTCCCCGGGTGGTTCTGGGGGATTTTTGCCTCACCGTTCTTTGTGATCATTTGACCCCACGGGGTGAGATCTTGCGTGGAGCCCAGATCGAGGGAGATTGCCAGGGTCTTGTATTGTCTGCCATTTCCTAATAATTGCTCACTGATTGAGTTCTTCAACCAGCTGACTTACTATGCAGATTCAGTCGTCACAGCATGGTGCAGGTCTACAATTTTGTTTATGGTAGTCCTTTGAAAGCGTATTTGGTCTTGGCCATAGTGGAGTTTGGAGTGTGACTGTGTGAGGTGGGGGACATGGTGTCTTTTATACTGATAAAAGTTCAAACATAGGTGCAATTAATACAGGTATAGAGTGAGGACAGAGGAGCCTCTTAAAGAAAGAAGTTACAGTCGTGAGAGCCAGAATCTTGCTTGTTGTAGGTGACCCAACTATTATTTTCCACAATAATTTGCAAAAAATTCATTAAAAAATCCTACCAATGGAATTTCTGGATTTTTTTCATCAATTTGTCTGTCATAGTTGAGTGTGTACCTATGATGAACAGGACAGGCCTCTCTCATTATTTTTAAGTGGGAAGAACTCTGCACAATTGGTGGCTGACTAAATACTTTTTTTCCCCCACTGTATACTTCTCACTCATGGAGATATCAGGAGTCCTCTAGCTATAGAATGAAGCACACGGGACATGTTATGTTATCACACTCTCTCTATCTGTGACATAAGGAATGTAGCTCGATGTATTGTCCTTTCAGACGCTCTAAACACCCTGAACAAGTGTTGCTCCATGAAAACTAGACGTCAGCCACCCCAGGAAGAAAGTAAGTCCCCTCTCTCCTTCTCAAATTATTCAATGTGTTTACAGGAAGTGACATAAACACAAAAACATTAAGTGAGAGGAAACATTAGAATTGGAACATATAGTTAAAGTACAAATGGGAAAATAAATAAAAAAATATGGGTTGTATTGACCATGGGTGTTGTTCTTCACTGGTTTGCCCTTTTTTCTAGGCTACGTGAATGGGGGCGCAGATTGCGATGGCTTTCTACTGACGCCAAGAGTGCGCGAATCTGTGCATGACGTCAGTGTGCTCGTGGAAACAGGGTCTACAGTATGTCATACTGTAATAAAATATAATGTTTTCCTCTCTCCAGACTGACGATTTCAGACGAACGAGGAAATCGATGGCCATCAGAAGAGATGGACCTTGAGTGGAACAGCCGCGCTGGTCCCGACTCCAGGACATGCACCGTCCCGGGGCTCGCCCAAGGAGAGCAGCAATGAGGGGTGAAGGGCGAGGGGGGAGGGGCTGTGAGGAGCACGGTGAGCAGCGGGAGAGCGTCCTGGACCGGATCTCAGGAACACGAGATTCACGGATGTATCCTCTCTTCACAGCCAAGTGACTCTCTGGGGGCCATTGCTGCCTGACTGGTTCTCTATGGCATCGCTGGAAGGGCACTACCAGGTAACGCTTTATGGTTCCCAAATGGCACCCTATTCGATATGTAATGCTTTTAATTGATTTTATGTGATTTTAATGTGAATTTTAATGTGATTTAGTGATTTGCGTGTGGTTTTAATGTGAGTTTAATGTGATTTTAAGTGATTTTATTGGATTTTTAATGTGATGTTGTTAATGTGTGAGTGTTATTGTGATTTTAATGTGATTTTATGTGATTTATTGTGATTTTAATGTGGATTTTAATGTGATTTTATGGTGATTTTAATGTGATTTTTAAATGTGATTTTATTGTGATTTATTTGTTGATTTATGTGATTTGAAAAAGGATTATATATTCTTATTATTTGTTATTACAGTCCCCGGGGACATGTCCCACTACAACTCTATAACCAATCAAACGCAGCAATCATGGCCAGGGGGTGGGCGTAATAGTCCGGTGAAGGCCATTCCTGCGTCGCTATGCGAGAGATGCGTACGTGGGGGCGTCCTCCAGGAGGAATGTCAGGAAGTGTGGACAGGCACCACTGGTCAATCAGTGGGCCGGTTTTCTTACAGGGGGAGGCGCCCCAGGCACTACAGACACTCCACTGTGTCCCCCATCAACCAATCAGATGGAAGTCCTCAAGTCCATAATCAGACAACAGCACGTCCCCTGTCGGCCCATGGAGACGGCCAGCGAGGCCGTCAGAGACGGCAGTGAGTAGTTCCATGAGTCCCTGTTGATGAGGCAGAGAGTCCCAAAGCCCGGCTAAAAAGGGAAGTGTTACCTAGAAGACATGGAGCTGCTCTTGGCGGCCCCCATGCCGGCGGACTGAAGCACACAGAGCCCGTTCGGCAGGACCACAATCCGCTCATACGAGGAACCTGCGGGTCACATTCCCAAGGACCACAAAAACAGGCACCTTCCCCAAAGCCTGTCTTATAGGAAGCTTAGCCCCGGACATGAAACCACTACCACAAACACCACCAGACAACACTTATCACTCCCCAATCAATCCAAGCCATAGGCTTCCCCTGGGCGGCACGGCCTACACGGCGGCAGCGGGTGAGTGTGTAGTGACAATGTCCCGGGTCTCACCTGCTGGGATATGGACCGAGGAGACAACCTGTTCCCCACTGGAATGACATTCAATCAGTAACGTCAGCGGCTGCAGCAGCCCATGCTGACAACTCCAATGGATGTCGCAGCGTGCTGCAGGAGGGGAAGAGGAGGAGGTAGGGGGAGGAGCGGGGAGAGGCTGGGGAGGGAGACAGGGTTCCCTGGAATGATAAGGAGGGTGAGGAGGGAGGGGGGAGAGGGGGAGAGAGATGATACGGACCCTACAGGGACCAGAACGAGAGGAGGGGACTCCGGAGTAGGAGCTTACCCCTTACAGACCACGGTGGTGGTATGGTCTCTCTTGTAACACTGTATGTATTCCATGGTCGTCTACTTCTGAGACATGAACGTTTTTTTAAGCTTGTTGAGTCTGGGGGCATGGGACATAGAGGTCCGGGGCCATTAGGACATTAGAGTCATGGGGCATTAGGACAGAGAGTCTGGGGCATTTCATTAGGACATAGAGGTCTGGGGGGTGGTAAGTAAAGGGGACATAGAGTCTGGGGCATTGAGAGGAAATGGTAGTGGGAGGGGCAAGAGAAAGAAGAAGTAGGAAAAAAGGGGAAAGAGAAAGCGGGAGAGAGAAGGAGCAGATGGCGAGAAGAGGAGATGAGATGTAAGCGAGCGAAGAAGGAGACAGATAGATAGAGAGCGAGAGAGTATAAAGAAAACGTAGGGAAGAGCGAGAGGTGCGCGGAGAGCGCGAGGGGGAGCGGAAAGAGAGAGAGAGATGAGAGCGAGGACAAGAGAGAAAGAGACGAGAGAGAAAGAGACGAGAAGAGGAGAACTTCTCTCTCTCTCTATCTCTCCTCTCGCTTCTCTCCTTTCTCTCTCTCGCTCTCCCTCCTCTCTCTCTCTCTCTCCTCTCTCTCTCTACTCTCTCTTCTCTCTCATCGACTCTCTCTCTCTCCCCTTCTCCCTCCTCTCTCTCCTCTCTCTATCTCTCTCTCTTCTCTCTCTCTCTCTCTCTCTCTCTTCTTTCTCTCTTCTCTCTCTCTCTCTCTCTCTCTCTTCTAGGGTGCGGTGCGAGCTTCCGCCCGTTTCTGAACGGTGAGCAATCAGGCTCTCGCTGCAGATCAGTACCCAATCAGAATCGTCCAGCTCAGCCTGCTCCAGAAGTTCTCCTCTGCTCGAATAACAGCCATAATGGAAAAAAATGCAATGCCAGGCTGAGAAACAGGCTGGACCGGGGTAGGGAATCGGCGGTGCACCAACACACACACACACATAACACACACACACACACACACCAAAAACGGAGCGCAGACAGGCGTGCTACGATGCTCTTAGACTTTCGGTTAGTTAAGATAAGCTAAGGGGAGTGGTATACGTAAAGTTGCTGGAGGAAGCGTGGCTGATGAACGGGGGGGGAAGGCCGGGGGGGGTGGTAAAGGGAGTAAAAGTAGTAAGAGAATGGCGGGGGGCGGGGGGGGCCATGCAGAGGAAACACCGAAGCAGCTTTGGGGGGGGGGACCGGGCCCCGGGCGGTCGAAAAGGGCCCGGAGTGCAGCGCAGAACGCAAGCGGCCGGGACACAGGGACATCCCACACACACAACAGCAACCAACAACACACACACCACCACACACACACACAAACACTACACACAACACACACACACAGGACACACAAAGGACACACACCACACATCACAGCACAGGAGAAAGGGACACAAGGACAGACCAGAAAGACAACACACACGACACACACGACCATCACCAGGACAGACAGACGACACACACACACACCAACACACACACAAGACACACAGAACACACAGCACACACAAGACAACACACACATGACGCGACGAGCCACGACCACACACTAGGGAACCATGAAGACGGACCAGCACACACACACAACACACACACACACACAGCACACACACACACAACACTACACAACACACACAAACACGAGACACAGACGGACACACACACCACACACACACACCACCACAGGACACACCCCACACACACACACCAGCAACATGTAAGACACACAAACTACACACACACACAGAGACGACCACACACAAACACACACACACACACATACACACACATACACATACAGTGGGGAAAAAAAAGTATTTAGTCAGCCACCAGTGTGCAAGTTCTCCACTTAAAAAGATTGAAGAGCGGCCTGTAATTTTCTCATAGGTACACGTCAACATGACAGACCAAAATGAGAAGAAAAAAATCCAGGAAAATCACATGTTGTAGGAGGTTAGGATTTTTTTTGCAATTTATGGTGTGCGGGGCGGGTGGAAAATAAGTATTTTGGTCAATAAACAAAACGTTTCTCAATAATTTGTTATATACCCTTGTTGGCAATTGACTACAGGGTTCAAAAGTTTTATGTAAGTCTCCATGAATAGAGGAGCCACTCCTTCTCTCTAATCATTAGAGAACGGTGGGAGCGGTGGTGTGCGGTGCGGAGACTCGTTGTAGGCACCTTTAAAGATCATACCATTATCATCCCCCTATCTTCCTTTTTTTCACTTGCTTAGTAGTTTTTCCGTTTGTTACCTTCATCTCTCTATCCTTCCCGCCACGCGTCTACTTCGTTAGTTTTGGCGCCTATTCCTTTCCCTTTCCTATTCGTTCTCCTCAATCCTGTTTTTCCCCACGTCTTTCATCCCCTTCTTCACACCCCGTTGTTCCTCTGGTTTCTATTCTTCCCCTCAAAACAAGGACTTTCAAACTCCATCACACAGATTTTCTATGGGGTTGAGATCTGGTAGGGAATGGCCTAGGACAAGCTCAGGGGACCTTGTGACAAATGCTTCTCGAAGACAATCCTTCGTTTGCACCGGGGGGGTGTTGGGATCCTTGTCATGCTGAAAGACCCAGCACGTTTCATCTTCAATGCCCTTGCTGATGGAAGGAGGTTTTCACTCAAAATCTCACGATACATGGCCCCAGTCATTCTTTCCTTACACGGATCAGTCGTCCTGGTCCCTTTGCAGAAAAAACAGCCCCAAAGCATGATGTTTCCACCCCCATGCTTCACAGTAGGTATGGTGTTCTTTGGGATGCAACTCAGCATTCTTTGTCCTCCAAACACGACGAGGTTGAGTTTTTACCAAAAAGTTCTATTTTGGTTTCATCTGACCATATGACATTCTCCCAATCCTCTTCTGGATCATCCAAATGCACTCTAGCAAACTTCAGACGGGCCTGGGACATGTACTGGCTTAAGCAGGGGGACACGTCTGGCACTGCATGATTTGAGTCCCCTGGCGGGCGTAGTGTGTTACTGATGTAGGCTTTGTTTACTTTGGTCCCAGCTCTCTGCAGGTCATTCACTAGGTCCCCCTGTGTGGTTCTGGGATTTTTGCTCACCGTTCTTGTGATCATTTTGACCCCACGGGGTGAGATCTTGCGTGGAGCCCCAGACGAGGGAGATTATCAGTGGTCTTGTTTGTCTTCCATTTCCTAATAATTGCTCCCACAGTTGATTTCTTCAAACCAAGCTGCTTACCTATTGCAGATTCAGTCTTCCCAGCCTGGTGCAGGTCTACAATTTTGTTTCTGTGTCCTTTGACAGCTCTTTGGTCTTGGCCACAGTGGAGTTTGGAGTGTGACTGTTTGAGGTTGTGGACAGGTGTCTTTTATAACTGATAACCAAGTTCAAACAGGTGCCATTAATACAGGTAACGAGTGGAGGACAGAGGAGCCTCTTAAATAAGAAGTTACAGGTCTGTGAGAGCCAGAAATCTTGCTTGTTTGTAGGTGACCAAATACTTATTTTCCACCATAATTTGCAAATAAATTCATAAAAAATCCTACAATGTGATTTTCTGGATTTTTTTCCCTCAATTTGTCTGTCATAGTTGACGTGTACCTATGATGAAAATGACAGGCCTCTCTCATCTTTTTAAGTGGGAGAACTTGCACAATTGGTGGCTGACTAAATACGGGCCAACAAGGGGGGGACGGGAAGAAGAGCGGGACGGGGGGCCCCAACAGCCGGGTACAAAGACAAAAGACACCACAACACACACACAGAGACACAAACACACACAGACAGACAGACGCACAACAGCACCACACCACACAAGAGACACACACATCACAGACAGATCAGACACACACACACCACACACACATCAACACACACACCACACACCGGACACAGAACAGACTTACACACACACACACAGAGACACACACACACAGATCAGACAGACAGACACACACACACACAGACACAGACAGCACACAGGACACTCCACAGACACAGACACACACAGACACCCCATCAGACAAAAGCAAACACAAAACACACACCAGACCACACCTACCCCACAGAACAAACACAGACCCAGAACACACACACAAAAACACACGATACACAGTACATACACTACACACACAAAAGCACACCATATCAACTACACACAAACACACACAAACACACACACATACACACACATACACACACATACACACACAGACAGTTTTGTAAGTTGGGGTTAGGTCTTGTATCTGTTGAGACAGGAGTGTAACTCCCTCTCTCTCTCTCTCTCTCTCTCTCTCTCCTCTCTCTCTCACTCTCTCTCATCTCTCTCTCCCCCCTCTCCTCATCTCCCCCCCCC